AAACATGCTTAATTGAACTTGAAAGCGAAGAAGAAAAAACAACAATCTTAAGAAACAAATACAAACTTAAGAATGTGAAGATCGAAAATATATGGATTACAGAGGATCTCACAAAAGGAGAGAGAGAGAGAGAAAATGGAAGCTTTAAGAGATAAAGCAAGAGAAATGAGGGAAAATGGAAAAATGGTCAAAATAGGATACAATAAAATCACAGTGGACGGCAAGGAATGGAGATGGTGCTATAAAGAAGAAAATGTGTTGGAAATAGCGTGTTCCAAAAACTACCAGAGCAACATAAAAAGAACCAAGGAGAGGCCAAGCAACAAGTAGAGAAAGAAGAATTACTAAATAAACCGGACAATGATGACAAATGTTTAGTTTTAAGTAGTAATAGGAATAGGATAAGAAATAATAAAAATAGATTATAAATCAATTTTAAGCCAAACCCCGGAAATGTCCCTAATAGAGACGCTTTCACAAATCTGAAGATATACCTGAACCAATAGTGTCATGAAATCCTTAAACTCTGGACTTGCTATAAATACCTTGAAGATAGTTTCTATCACAGAACTTTGTTTAAAACCAAATGGCAACCTAGAACCAGAAAAATAATATTCTCCGCAAACTTGTCAGCTCAAAATAGGAAGCACATTCTTCCACCCTTAAAACGTAGACTTAAACTCTATGCTTATGCTGCCGAATATACCTTGCTAGTATGGGTGACAAAAACACATACTTAACACGTAAGTATATTTAGCTATAAATTAGTCATTCATCAGATCATCACATCTGCAAGATATACAAAAAAAATATAAGCTGCTCCTCGCCATCTGAACCCTCGAAAGGAACTTCCTTATGGTTGTTCTTCTTCTTCAAGTGCCCTGTCCGTGGCGAACGTTGGCTATTAACATGGCAATTTTGATCTTGTTTGCGGCGCTTCTGAATAGTTCGACCGATGTGAGCCCGAACCACTTCCGCAGATTTTGGAGCCACGAGTGTCTTCTCCTGCCTGGCCCTCGCTTACTGTCTATTTTTCCCTGGACAATCAATTGTAGCAGACGGTACTTATCGTGTCTCAATATGTGGCCTAGATATTCAAGCTTTCTTTGTTTAATTGTATTCACGATTTCTTTCTCCTTTCCGATTCTTTGGAGTACCTCTATGTTGGTGACATGTTCGGTCCAGGATATACGAAGAATGCGTCGGTACACCCACATTTCGAATGCTTCTAGTTTTCTCGTTAGCGTCTCCGTCAGCGTCCAGGCCTCCACGCCATACAGCAAGATCGGAAAAATGTAGCATTTAACTATACGTAGTTTTAGGGGAAGAGACAAATCCTTGCTTATGAGGAGCTTTTTCATATTGCTAAATGCTGCTCTAGCTCGTTCTATTCTCGCCTTAATTTCTATGGTCTGTTCCCATTTTGCATTTACGTTGGTGCCAAGGTACACATAAGACTCTACATGGTCAATTAATATGTTACTTATCCGTAATTGTCGAGCAGGTTGTTGCTTTTTGCTTATCAGCATCCACTTTGTCTTCTTGAAGTTGAGGCTCAGGCCGTATTCCTCACTAACTGAATAAGGTCTTTCCATTACTTGTTGTAATTCGTCTATGGTACTGGCAAGGATCACCGTGTCGTCGGCGTATCTTATATTGTTCGTTAACTCGCCGTTTATTTTAATGCCCTCATTTGCATTTTCCATACATTTGTTAAATATTTCCTCGGAATACATATTGAATAGGAGTGGGGATAATATACATCCCTGACGGACACCTCTTTTGATCTGCACGCTTTCAGTGAGTTCGTTGCCAATTTTTGCTCTTGCTGTTTGACCCCAGTATAGGTTTGCCACAATTCGAATGTCCTTGTCGTCAATATCTGTCTTTCGCAGAATACCTATCAATTGTTCATGATTGACATTGTCAAATGCTTTTCTAAAATCTACAAAGCACAGATACACGTCTTTATCAACGTCTCTACACCGTTGTATAAGCACCTGGAGAGCGAAAATTGCTTCTCTAGTTCCAAGTGCTTTCCGAAAACCAAACTGCGATCTATCAATATTTGACTCACATTTATCATATATTCTTCTGTGAATGATCTTAGTGAACGCTTTAGTGACATGATTGATCAAGCTTATAAGCCGGTAGTCATCACAAATCTGGGCATTTGGTTTCTTCGGGATTGTAATAAATGTTAACTGTAGCCAGTTCTCCGGGATTTTACCGCTATTATATATGTTGTTAAAAAGTACAACTAGATTATCAAGGAACTGTTTGTCTGATTTACTTAGGATCTTTAATATTTCGCAATGTACATTGTCCGGACCTGCTGACTTATTGTTTTTTAGTGCTGCAATGGCATCTTCTATCTCCGATTTAAGAATTGAAGGTCCTGTTTCTCCTTCTCCATATAGGTGATCATCATTCCTGTTAGATGCAAATAATTTTTCTATGTATGATTTCCATGTTTTTAAGATCGTTGATGGCTCCGAGATAAGATTTTCATCGCTATCTTTTATGCTGTTGGGTGGCTTATTGAATTTCCTCTTGTTTGTCATCGATTTTATTTTTTTGTGTATATTGTAACTGTCGTATTTTCGTTCGTATTGTTCTATTTCCCTGCATTCGTTGGAAAACCATTTTTCTTTGGCTTCTCGAATTTTCGTTCTTATGGTTTTGTGGATCTGCTGGTATTTTTCTGCATTTTTATTCTTGAATTTATGTCTTTCATCCATCATATCCATTATCTCATCAGACATCCATTCTTTCTTTTTTCGTCGGTCACGCTTTAATAGAGTCGCGCATGTTGTTTGGATTGCTTCCCTCGATTTATCCCATCTCTCTATTATGTCCGACGTGTTCTCGTTAATGTCCTTTATTTTCTTTCCTAGTTGTTCTCGTACTTTTATTTCGGTTTCTGGGTTAGTGAGTTTTTTAAAATCGATTGTGTTTAAATTAGATCTTTCTCGAGCCGTTTTACTCTCATGACCATTCTGCATACCAAAACATTGTGGTCCGTATGAACATCGGCACCTGGGTACCTTTTTGATGATTTTATCATGTTTTTATATCTTGTTGGTACTGCTATATAATCTATATGATTTCTAATGATGTTGTCAGGTGAGTCAGCGGGGGATTTCCATGTGTAAAGTCGACGTTTGGGGAGCTTGAAAAGTGTATTACTTAACAGCAGGTTATATTCCTGGCAGAAGCATATAAGTCTATCACCTCTGTCGTTTCTCTTCCCTAGGCCGAAGTTTCCCACGATCTCATTCACCTTGCCTCTGCCAACCTTTGCATTGAAATCTCCCATCACTATTGTTACTTCATGATTTTTTGTCATTTTCATCAGGCTTCCCAGTTGTTCGTAGAATTCTTCGCTGGTTGCCTCATCTTTATCTGCCGTTGGCGCGTATACCTGTAATATATTAATATCCACCGGTGTTGCTCGAATTTGTAAAAGCATCATTCTATCTGAATGATGAGTGAAAGATTTTACTGCCGAATTAATATGTGGGGCAACTACTATTGCAGTGCCGTTTCTGTGATGTTTTGTGTTGTTTCCAGCATAGTAAACTTTATATCCAAGTATATCGCATTGTCCAGAGTTGTTGGTTGTTATCTTCCTTAAATTTGCCTGGAGGACTCTTGCCTGCAAACACCGGTTAACCTGTGTGAATGTGGAGTGGTATAAGATTCATCACACTTTCTTAGTTGACTTTTCCATTTAAATCGCTCTTTTCTGAAGGGACAAGGTTTATTTATTTGAACTAAACATGTTAAGTATAGCCAGTAAGCTTTTACTTATAAAGATCATTGCAAATTTGAAACTAACTCCACTTATATTGATAACATATTACCCCTAAATAGAAAATAAAACATTCAGAAGTATGTAATATTGGAGAAGTGGTATAATGCTTGTTAGATAAATTCTTTGTTTTTTTGTGCACTACTACCCATTTTTACACAAAAATATCTATTTTAGCACTTAAATATTTATTTTCAGATAACCTTTTATCCAAACTTAAATGTAGTACATAGATAAAACCAGAAATAAAATAATAAAAAAGCTGTATACAAGATATCATAAAACAATGGATGAAATAAAAGAAGTTCTTATTAATCGGATTCTTAAATAAAACTTATGAAGACATATTCACGTTAACAAAATACATTAGGAAATTTCCGCATATGAAACAAAATCCAATTTGGTAATGAAATCCTTTTGTAGCTATAAAGCTATTTTTAGAGAACTCGTACCTACCAAAAACAGGTAGTTTATAGTATACATATCTGTTACACACTGTAATGCGTATGAATGATAACAAAACTAAGGAGTCCATATAAACCGTCCAGACTTTACGCGAGAATTATACATCTTACAGCAGAGTTGCCAAACTATCAGAGCTTACTTAAACCGATATACATATGGTTCCAATATACAGTGAAAAAGATCTGAACGACCCCTATAATATATACACGTGAACTAAGCGATATACATTTATGATACAGGGATAATTATGGGCTCCAAAATTTTTTTAAAAATTATGAAACTATACATGTTGACGAATCGACAGAGCCAATATTATGGAATGGTCAAGTGAGCTCCGTATATCGGTGTCCACTTGACCACGGAGCTCACCTGAACCTGAATTTTAACATGGGCGGAGTCCACTTTATGCCGTAAATATATATATATATATATATATATATATATATATATATATATATATATATATATAGTTGATTTTCTTGGGCTTAGGTTCATAAAAAAAATTGATTTGATACTAAAACATTTTTATATAGTTTTTCGACGTTTCGGCATAAAAAAACATTTTATGACAGACATAATACTTGAGACATAATACTAAAGCGTGTGCGTTTTAATTCGATCAAATAACTTAAATATTTAGCCCATTAGCTAATAGACACTTTCCTTTAGTTTTTGTGGGTACTAAATCTATAAATTTTTTGGACTAAAGCATGTAACTTACTTCTATTAACTGCGTTTCCTGTATAGCTAATGGTGTTATTCCAAAATAGTGATATTTAATGGCAAAAGCAGCAGAATCCCTACGTATTTTATTTTTATTTATATCCACAGGAGCTAACAAGGTGTAATCGAAATCATATCTTGTAAAGTAAAGGTTAATCAGAGCTAAAATAAAAATAGTTTTTATTTCTTTTTTTGTTAGAAAACATGAAATTATTGTCAATGAAATATTTAATTTGCAAGCTAAGTCCTTCAGGTCTTAGATCTTGATCAGAGCTATAAAAGAAAAAAAAAGATAAAATGTCAATAAAATGCCAATAAAGCAAAGAAATCTGTTTCTATATATAAATAAAAATTTGTTTCTTTTGTGGAAAGACACACAGTATATCCTGAACGATATTGAAAGAGGAATGAGGAAGATAAAAGAAGAATCTATACACATCATATGAGAATCATGTTTGACAATTATTACCACTGTTGGACGGGAAGTATACTTGGTCTATTTATCTTTGAAAATTGACAATTTGATATTTTGATTTTTAGGATCGATAGGCATTGAATTCTGTAATATTACAATCATAAATAAAAAAAAAGGAAATTGTACAAGATATAAATAAATTTGGCATACGACGCTTGAGAGACTAAGTGAAACAAAGAGGTCTGAACAAAGAAAAATACATATAGATGGATAATATTTTTTGTACTATTCTGGTATTGATGCCAATGAAAGGAAGAAAGAAGGAGTTGGAGTAATACTGACAAGCAGTTGGATCGTATATAAATGAATCAATAGCAGTAGCACTTCTCTACGATCTCGGTAGAGGATAGGCTGCTACAGGGCTTGCTGACCCTACCTTATGCTAGCCGCTAACGTCCTTTCTTGTCTATTATGAAAAAGTCAGGTCCTTATATTCTTTCCTGTCTTCTACCAAACTATTCCCATCTACATTTTTTATCTAAACCGGCCAATACATCTTGGCAAGCACAACAGATTTTAAAAGCTCTCCAAAAACACCCCTAAAATAACATAAAAATATCAATATCTCAAAATAAATTAACCCATGTGAGTAGGAAATAATTTCCAGAATCTCGCACTAATCTGGTTGTCTACTGGGAGAGACAAGATTCTGACAAGTAAATATACCAACTTAGAAAACCTTAAAACTCAACGTTGCTACATATAATGCTAATCTCCAGCAACAGAAGAAAGTATCATGGAGATGGAAGCAGAAATATCGAAAATTAAATGGGATGTGATAGGCCTTAGCGAGATAAGACAACAAGGGAAAAGTCTAAAAAAACCGAAGTAGAGGTCACTTGTTTTATCAAGTTGGTAGTGAATCTGAAACAATGGAGGGGTTGGCTTCTTCGTACACAAAAAACATGAAAACAGCATTATATTAGTAAAAAGTTTTTCTACTGGAAAAACTTTTTTAACCTTAAAACTAAGTGAAAGATATACTTTACCATACTATGTGGTGACTTCAATGCTAAAACGGGGAGAAAGGCAGATAAGACAGAAGCATCACTGAGAAATTTTGGTTTGGGAAACAGGAACGATCGCGGTGAAACTTTACTTATTAGTCTGCTGGAAAAAACTCCATACAAAAAAGAATATCGAAGATAGAAATGACAGAGCCCGAATAAGCTCTAAAACTAATAACGAGATCGATTTTATGATTACTGACAAGAGACACATCTTTAAAGATGTTCCAGTCCTAAGCCAGTTCTCAACGGATAGCAACAGAATGGTATCGAACAGAACAGAACAGAATAGCGAACAAAATGGTAAAAGCGTTGTTAGAACTTTGAGAAAGAGAGATATTGCATGATCAAAAGAAAATTCACACATACTTGGCGTAGTAACATAAATGCATTTGAAGAACACATCAACAGCATTCTCGAAAGCAACAAGAATAAAACACAAATATTAACACCCGAATGACATTATAATAAAAGCGATAGAGGAAAGCCAGAAAAAAACGCTTCCAAAAGAAATAAGTATCCAAACATGAGCATTAACGGAAAAAGGAGAAAAATGCAAAGTAATAGAATCAAAGAACATGAACTTATAGAGATAAATAAAAAAATATAAAAACTTATTAGGATGGATAACCGAAAGCATAAAAATGAACAAATCAACTAAACGATTGAAAATAACAAGAATCTGAATAACAAGATTTCTATACGGAATCAAACAAAAGTCAACACAACTATAAGGAGCAACTAGCAGAAAACTGAGGAAGAAGATTAGTCCACCAAGATTCGGAATTGATTCCTGATATATCAACAGACAAATAAGAAACGCACTGGAACAAAATAAAAAGAAATAAAGAGCCAGGAGAAAATAATTATTGTTATAGAAACCGTAAATAGGTAAAGAAATAATAAATAAGACTTACTCACAATCAATTTAATTTAACTATCAGACGACCGGTTTCGCTTTCTACAATATGCAAAGCATCTTCAGGTCTCGATACAAAGTTAAACAAATGATGCCGGTACTCTATTAATAGATGGATGGTAGAACATGTTTGAAACTACTGTATATTGTTGAATGGAGAACTCAATACTATTATTGCAGTTGTTTGACAGTAAACGGGAAGTTCTTGAGGAGGTATATTTGATCCAATGAATTTGAGATATGTGTGAGATTGTTTGTTAAATGTAAGTGGTGTAATATATTATTGTGTTATTAAAAGTTATTTATACTTATTCCAGAGATATATTTTTGAAATGTGTGTTATTTATTGAGTAGTTGTTTTATGAAGGTGACATTTTATGACAATGAATAAGTGTAGATGTAAAATTGTGTGGGTGTGCAATTATTTCCAAACTTGTAGTTATCAAATTATTTGATAAAGTTCTATTGGCAATGAGTTAATTATTGGAATGGTCAAGTGAATAAAATGGTAAAATACAAACACTTAAGGATAATTTAAACACACTAAAAACAGAAAACACTTAGAAGGGACGAAACAAACATTGAATTTAAAAGGGAAAGGACTTTAAAGCACTACATCATAGTCTTGGGCACAATGAGTTTTTATTGTTGTATCTATTAGATTTTAGTGGTAAATTTTGACCACTAAGAAAAAAGAAACCGTAAAGTTTACAGGAAATAGACTTTTAGAGAAATTAAATAAAATATTCAACTTATGTCTTCACAAAATTAAAACACCTACAAGTGCACTTAATATATTATTACACAGAAAAGGCGATCCAACAGACCTGGAACAGAATTACCGACCATAAACCATTTAAACCACCTCTATAAGTTATTCACAAGAATAATAGCAAAAAGACTGGAAAAAAAATTAGATTTTTAACAACCTAGGGAACAAGCAGATTTTAAGAAAAACTTTGACACCAACGACCACCTCCACTGCATAAAAAACGACCATCTCCACTGCACAAGAGGGATTATAGAAAAATCCATTAAATACAGCCGACCATTGGCCCTAGCTTTCGTAGACTCTCGCAAAGCATTCAATAGGATAAAAATTAACAGCGCAATAAGAGTATTGGAGGAAAGTCGCATCTTTACGGCTGTTTTGGAACATGCTTTCAAAAAATTGAAGTGGGAAGCCGAAGGAATCAATGTCGACCTCGAGATGATCTCACAGCTATGATTTGCGGAAGACATTGTTCTGATAACCGATGACTTAAAAGAAATTGAAGTAATGTTTACTGAATTAAATGCCGCCTGTAACAAAGTTGGTTTAAACATAAATTTTGAAAAGACACAATACACGACAAAACTTAGGTCATAAAATTCAAATTGCTAGGGGACAACCAAACTGCTGGCATATGGATCTATATCAGATAGTTTTAAGAGCAACAAGCCAAATTACTTGAAAAAGAAGACGTTTCACCCATGTGTGCTTCTAGTCATGACTTACGCCACGGAAACACTTTCTTTAACCCAGGCTATAGCAACCAAACGCAGAGTAGCCCAAACATGAATGGAACGCTTGCTACTTGGACTGACTCTCAGAGATAGATTTAGAAACGAAGAAATAATAAGAAGGACAGGCGTCACAGATGTCATAGAGCTTACAGCATGGCTAAAGTGGAACCAGGCGGGCCATGTGACCAGAATGAATGACGGGCAGTGGACCCAAAAAATTACAGTTTGAAGACGACTAGCTAACAGAAGAATCAGAGGTAGACCGCCTACACGATGGACATACGGCATTAAAATAATTGCTGGGAATTGGCTGCAGAAAACTCAAAACTCAAGATTCGGGGAGAAAAACGATATCAACATTATAATGGGCGATTTTAATGCCAAAGTCGATAGGGTAGATGTGGTTATGCGGTCGGTAATTTTGGTCTGGGTAACAAAAATAAGCGAGGAGAGTTACTAATTGAATTTTGTAATGACCACGATTTCGTTATATCCAATACGAGGTATCAACTCCCACCAAGAAGATTGTATACATGACGAGCACCAGGAGACCGTCCAAAATCAAAATTGGTTGTGTCTTGATAAACAAAAGATAAAGTCCGTAACTATATAAAACAAGTGGCCACTTACCCTGGTGCGGACATTTCGTAAGTAAGGTTTCTATTGGCAAAGTTTAAAAAGCCATCTAATAAAAAATACATAAACACTAGAGAATTAATTAGATGAAGAGCTTAGATCTACATATAGTAAGCACATCAACGAGAACTTGAGAAACTTTTTAAGGAAATTGCATCGAGGAAACCTGTGAGAAAATAAAAATAGCTTTAGTCGAGGCTGACGAAGCTGACGAAGTCTAATGGAGCAACGCAAACAGTACAAAATACATTAAAATCAACAGGAATACAAGGAAATCCAACGTACGATAAGGACAAGAATTAACAACACAAAGGAAAGCTGTATGGAAGAACGTTGTGAAGAATTGGAATCACTACAAGAAAAGGGAGACACCTTTGGACTACATAAAAAGGTCAAAGAAATTTCGAGTATACACAAGACACATCATGAGACTCCCTTGAATAATAATCAAGACAAATACGTTCATTCGTAGCAAGAACTAGCAAAAATCTCGGCAAAATATGCTTTGTCCCTCTTTGCTGATAATAGACCAAATCTGTCAACCACTAACTTACCCACGGAAAATTTATCCGGCCCTCCCATTATTCGCGCAGAGATGGAGTACGCTATAAAAGTAGCAAAGCTGGAAAAGGCCCCTGGACCGGATGGAATGACTACGAAAGCCATAAAACTATTGGAAGATGATAATATCGACATGCTGGTAACAATTTTCAATGCCATATATATCACCTGCCATATTCCAACGGATTGGCTTTACTCAACCTTTATAATGATCACTTAATCACAAAGAGCGAAAAAATGCTAAGACCACAGACTGATAAGTTTAATGAGCCATTTACTTAAGGTATTTCTTCGCACCCTTTACACAAGAATGTTAAAAAAGCTGGAAGATCTAAGTGGTAAGACACAATTTGGTTGTAAGGGCGGACTGGGTACACCTGAAGCAGCTTTTTGCTTAAATACGCTTGTACAAAACTGCACGAATCATCGAAAGGCATAACATTCCTCGATTATGAAAAAGCGTATTGGAATCAAAAAGCACGAATGAGACTAAACAAATTAACCAACAAAGAAGAATTTGAAATTTCAAGAGGGGTGCGACAGGGGTGTATTTTGTCTCCTATGTTCTTTAATCTCTATGTGGAGAACATTTTTGCAGAGGCACTGGAAGGCTCTGAGTGTGAAATAAAGGTAAACGGATTCCCAATAAATAACATTCGTTATGCCAACAACACCGCGATAATAACACACAACGAACATGATATTCAGTTGATGTTAAATAAAATAAACACCGTAGGAAAAATATATGGCTTGAAGGTAAATGCTGGAAAAACTAAATGCATGGCAATAAGAAAAAACGCACTTTTAAGAATACAACTGCAACTAGATAATACTCCAATCGATCAAGTGAACACATTTAAATACTTGGGAATGATGACGGATCACCAATGGGATCCTCAACGAGAAATAAAATGCAGTACCGAACAAGCAAGACAAGCTTTAATCAAATTTAAACCGCTACTATGTAACGGCAATATTTCCTTCAATCTCCGCTATAGGATGGTTAAATGCTATGTATGGTCCATATTGTTATACGGTATGGAAACATGGATGTTAAGAGTACCTTCCATTAATAAGTTGGAGGCCTTTGAAATGTGGACGTTGAGTAGAATGTTCCGCATACCATGGACAGATAGGGTGAGAAACGAGTAAGTCTTAAGAAAGGAAAATACTGAGAGAGAACTACTCAATTTGATCAATGGATGGTTACATGAACATGATAAATGAACCAAAGCTGATTACAAATTCAAACTCAAAAGGTCCAACTAATGATGAACGTGCGAACGATTGACGAGTTGAAGACACCCAAATAACAGTTATATCGTTCTATTGACACCAACTCAAACCCACAGGGTGTGACTTGTTTGTGTTCCAACGCCATATTAATTATTTATGGCTTTTATTTCATTAGGGCAATAAGAAGCTTTTGCTAAAAGTTTCGAATATATATATATATATATATATATATATATATATATATATATATATATATATATATATATAGGTCTGGAAACGGCTTATTATCTCGTTAATTACCAGACATATTTATACAAAATTTGAGATACACCTACATATTTTGGGATAAGAAGATTCTATATTTGATATTTGCAATGTTGCCAGGTTTGCCGTTTCTCTTATATTTTTAGTAACTTTGGTTTTAAAATTCATCACCCTGTATATTGACTCATTATTGGAATCTTCTTTTCAATACGAGTTCAACTATATGTATCACTTACGATTTTATGTAGTCTGGATGGTCTTAAATACATAAAACAAAAGTCTGACAACGCCTAATTGTCTAAATAAGATTTTTAATACTAACTATTTTAAGCTACATTAAAACGTAACAATTGATAGATTACAACATTTTTTAACATAGTGGTTACTTTATCAAGTGTTCAAAATGTGCTCTATTTATGAGTTGACAGTACCCTAATAGATGTTAAAATGCGTCTACCACATTTTTCTATGATTGTCTAAAATTTATTCGAGATTCATCGATATTTTGTTGCCTTAGCTCTGCAAGACTTGCTGGTTTAGTTTTGTAAACTGAATGAATTTTTCAAGTATCCCTAATAAAACTAATTTTTAGGATTGAAATCAGGTAAACGTGGAGACCATTCAATTCTACATCGTCTACCGATCCATCGTCCTGGAAATATCTCTTCTAAATAACTCCGAGCATTTACCCCAAAATGAGCTGGAGCTCATCTTGCCCATATCTAATTAAAATTGGCACCAAACAAATTTATCAGTGTAGGTACAATTTCATTTCTAAGTAACATTTCGTAACTATCTGAAGTTAAATTTTCTTCGATAAAAAATGGCCATATTAACTGAGTACCTACTATATCTAATCATAGTTAATTTTGTATCGTTTAAAAATATTCTTATGTAATACAAGTAAGACTAAAGAACGACCTACATCATGAACTTGTCCAACCCTGCGTGAAGATGTATGTGGATCTTCAATAAAACTTTGCATTATATCTAGTTTTCTTGTCATTCATAACTCTTTTCGGCATAACTGATCCGTATCTATCTAGTAAATTCGTAATTCGTAATTCGTAATTCGTAATTCGTTATTCGTAAATTGTAAATTGGTTGGCATAATTTTACAAAATTTGGTGTAAATATTCGGCGTTATTTAGAAGAGGTATTTCCCGGACGATGGATTGGTAGACGAGGTAGAATTGAATGGCCTCCACGTTCACCTGATTTTAATCCTAATGATTAATTTTATTTTGGATACTTGAAAAATTCAGTTTACAAAACTAAACCAGCAAGTCTTGCAGAACTAAGTCAACGAAATATCGATGAATCTCGAATAATTTCTAGACAATCATGGAAAAATGTGGTAGACACATTCTACCATGGATTAGGGTACTGTCAACTCACATAGAGCACATTTTCAACACTTGATCAAGTAACCATTATGTTAAAAAATATTGTAATCTATCAATTGTTACAATTTAATGTAGTTAAAAATAGTTAGTATTAAAAATTATTGAAACAATTTGGCATTGCCAGACTTTATGTTTTATGTATTTAAGATCTTCCAAACTACATAAAATTATAAGTGTTACATATGGTTAAACTCGTATTGAATAGGAGATTCCAATAATGATTGAATAAACAGGGTGATGAATTTGAAAAACCAAAGTTACTAATAATATAAGAGAAACGGCAAATCTCGCAACATTGCAAATATTAAATATGGAATCTTCATATCCCAAAATAGGTATACCATAAAATTTTGTACAATTATAACTAGCAATTTACGAAATAATTCGCCATTTCCAGACTTTTGGGCCACTCTGTATATCGCAATAATTATATAAAACAAAATTTATATAAAATTTCCTTACCTGGAATACCATTCGCAACTGCCGCCTCGTTTGAATTGACACCAATTATTACAGGAACTCGATTGTATTCCCCCTTTCTTAATAAAACGTCGCTATAGTTGTAAAAGAAAGCATCCTTATGATATGGTTCGATTACAGGGCTGAACATTATACCAGCCAAAGGATTCCCTAGCGTTATCTGAATAAGAATAAGAAATTATAAGATTTCAAAATAAGAACTGAAAAATCTAAAACTAATCTGTATATAAATCATCTATTTTTATAAGAGGCTATGATGACAGGTCACACCGTTTTTCCAGTAAACCAACGACGCCATCTACGAAAGAAATCTGAACTAACACCATTTGACATTTTAATTATATTTTGTTCTTGAATATAATTAATAATTAATTTTAATAATATGTTTAAGGTAGAATTTAATACAAAATAATTTAAAACTTTATGTTAATTTAGATCTAAAATCTTAACGTCATCTGACAATAATTAAAATTATCTGACATATAAAATATAGAATATTTATTTGCCAAATAAAGTACTGAATAAAAAGTTATCTGGAAAATAAATTGTGTTTATTGTTGTTCCTTATTATGTTTTAGGTTATCGCGAAATCAAAAATATAATCTAGATATTGTTGTTTAGTATAGGTTAGAGATATGGATATTAAAACATTTAATGACATTGGAGAATATCATCAGTATGATAATTAATGTTTATAAACTTGGCGCAGAATTGAACCTTTTAATTTATGTAATGATAAAGACTCTTTTAAAAGGTTAACATTAAGTAAACCGACAGTGATTTATATTCTGAGAAAATATTGTAAATAGTTGTTAATAAATAATTATAAAAGTAGGTGTATACACATTTTCATTTAGTTAGTTTAGGGATTCAATATTTTTATAATCTTGATAATTAAAAAATTAAATAATTAACCGTTTTTAAGAGATACTGTGGCTATTGATTCAATAATAGTAGCATCGGATTTCAAAATGAAAAATATGTACATAGTACCTAGGTTGTCAGGTTCTTTTAATAATCATAAAATACATTCAATTATATATAAGAGATATATAAGACTCAGAGAGAGTATTTAAAATATCCAGAGTGTAGTGGGAAATTTTAAAAGCTTTCAATAAATCTTTATATAAAATATGGAATATTGATTTTAAATTCTGACAATTTAGTGATACTTTTTGGATATGTTCTTCTAGGTATCTACCAGGTAGAAATAAATAATTCTGAATTCTTGATAAAAAGTTTAAATGAAGATAATAGAAATGGATTCTTACAAGGAGATTCTGATCATAAAGTAAAGTCATTTTTAAGAAGTCCACTAGACAATCCAATTTCTATAATAAATTTCATATTAGAACCAGATATGCAACATAACATTTTATGTATGTAAGAGAACGTATAGGTGCTATTTCTTCCAGTGGAAGTGGCTGTAAGGTTAAAACGATTCAACCGTTCTAATCTACAGCAACATTCTACGAGTATAACCTAGCGAGAGATTAAAATTAAGACAATTTTGAAGATGAATTACAAAGTAAAGACAATACTGAACTTTTTGAAGTTGAAGATGTTTTAGCTAACCTTGCATAATATTTTAGTCCGTTTCCAGTACGTTTACACGTTCATACATATGGTTCAAAAACACTGATTCTGACAAAACAAAACAATAGATAAAATAAGAGTTACACAATGCGCTATGGAAAGATCAATATTAGGTATTACCATCAGAGATAAAGTACCAAATCTAGAAATAAGAAGAAGAACAGGAGTCACAGATGTAGTTGAAGAAATAGCCATGGCTAAATGGGCTTGGGCCGGACATGTTGCACGGACACGGATGATAGATGGACGAGAAAGATTCTGGAATGGCGACCAAGGCAAGAGGCATATAGAAGCAGTGGACAAATATGAGCTAATCGATGATGATGCTATAATATTTTGGTAGTATGAAAAAACCTGAGAAGATTCATTAAACATGTACTTATTATGTTTCTATTTGTTATTCAATTTTTCTTTACATAATTTAATTTATTCCTGTCACCACAAATCGTATAATTAAAAGAAATATTAAAACATTATTGTGATTTCTTTGACAATTAATTAAATATTGGTGTGCTTCGAAATAAAGTTTACATTTATCTTATAGATATATTGTGGATAAACACCCCGTACGGGGTTACGCCGCTTAAGCTCTCTAGATCTATTTTACGAGGTAGATCAGTCCTCATTTTCTTTATTTAATTTTTCTTGTTATTTTTCTCCACTATTTCCTATCTCTGGTTTTTTCTCTCCATTGTCGTATGCCCGCCCTGTTGAGATCGTTTGTTACTTCTTGTAGCCATGTAGATCTTGGTCTTCCACGTCTTCGTTTACCAGCTGGTGTCCATTCCAATATTGAGAATATTGTCGTAGATTATCTTATAGATAAGTAACCGCAATATAATTTGACCTGAAAAGACAGGTTCATTTTATTTTATACATAAATGTCTATTCTTCAGAAACTACCTGTCAGATGGGACAATATTTATCTGGGGGTGAGAAGACCGGCCCTTTCATGTAAGAAGTTTATTATTTTAAAAATTTAATTTTAAATTCTTTTGAAAATTTTGTTGATCCTAAAAAACTGGCTGCGAATTTAGTGATTGATAAAAAATGTAATTTAAATCTCCAGCTTTCTTAACAAATAAATTGACATTCAGCCACCCTCCAAAAATGACTTATTTGTTATGAAAGTTGTACAACAGATTAAAATATTATTCTGTTGTTGTCCTAGCCTTAAATATGAGGAAGACAGAAAAAATTAAGTTGAGTGATTATAGATGTAGTTGATTGGACCCCTTGTCACATAGTGACGGGCATAATCACCAATAAATGTATAAACTAATTATTGTTAAAAAACATACTTACTGTAACAGATGTAACGAGGCTGACTCGATGGAGATCTGTATAATTTACTTTCTTCAGGTTCGCCACCATTTCAGTGGTATTTCTCGTGTTAAAACCAAGTGCAAGTGCAGTCTCTTTAGCGATTTTTCGTGCATTTCTATTTAGCGACCACAAACACAAAGAATTTCCGCTTTGCATAATAGCTGCTCTGAATAATCCTGAAAGTAAATGTATTAGATAACAAAAAAAAAAACATAATCATAAATAATGAATTTTAACTTATCACAGAATCAATATACTACTACGTAATATTAACATTGTTTTTAGATATTTTTCTGTAAGCTTCCTTATATATATATATATATATATATATATATATATATATATATATATATATATATATATAAGGCCTACAGAAGTCAAGGCAGAAGTCATTTCTAAAAACCTCGTTATTTAATCAATAAATAGCATATGTAATCCTAAATTTTGTTCATATCTATTATTTTGTATTGATTTTAACATACTTATTTGATTTGTAGTTGTTCTTTGTGATCTAAAACCTTCCTGGTATTCTCCAATCACTTTGTCATCACATTTTATTAATCTTTTCCTAATAATTTTTTCAAGTATTTCATAGACTACTTCTAATAGTGCCATACCTCTATAGTTTTCGCACTCTGTTTTGTCTCCTGTTTTTATAGATAAGACAAATAAAAGTACTATTCCATTGTTTCGGCATTTCTTTCTTTTGCCTAATTATTAGTGTCAAGTGAAATATTCTTTCCTTCAATATTTCGCCACCTTCCTTAAAAATCTCAGCTAAGGATACAACTTTCTCCTGTAAGTTTGTTATTTTTTAGACTCTTGTTATTTCTTTGACTTCATTAAAAGTAGGTTCGTCGCACGTCCCTTCTTCATTTTCTTACCAATTCTCATTCCCCCCAAGTTACTCTTGTTGGTTGGTATTTAATAGATCTTCGAAATATTCTGCTCATGTGTTTAGTTTTTCTGTTAGTTTACCTATAAGTAAGCCTTCTTTATTTCTGCAATACTGTGAATTATTTTTTGTAGTTTTCCTGGATTTCTTAACGTATTGGTAGAAATTTTTCAGCTCTTTGTTTTTGTAGGTTTCTTCTATGTTTTTCAATAGCTTTTTTACCTCTCTCTTCTCTTTTCCTTTTTCTGCAAATTCTTTTCACCTTCCTTCTTCTTGCTACATAGTTTTCGATCGCATTTTGAATATTTTCTTAATCTCTTTATAATCTCTGTCCCTTGTAGTCCAGTTTCTTCTTGCCAAAACATTCCTATATTATTCATCGAACCAGTCTTGCCATCTTGCCGTCTTTTTATATGCTCTCTTTCTATACACTTTTTCCGCTGCTTCCGACATAGTTGTCTATATGGTGTGCCACTCTTTGTCTATATCCTGTTTGACTAAATTCTCTAGTTTTTTTTATTTATTTCTTCCTCTAGTCTAGTTTACAACCTACTTCTCTTAAAGGTGCTCTAATTAGTAATTTCATCTATCTCTAACAGATTTTGGTATTATTGATAGTTCTTGTTTCTGTTTTGCTATTATAAGTGTATGGTCACTGTTGGTATTTGCCCCTCTGTAACTCCTGCAATCGATTATTGCATTATCATGTATGCTTTCAATTATTAGGATATGATCTATCTGATTATTTATTTTTCCATCGGGAAAAGTCCATGTTACCTTATGAATATCTTTGTGATCAAACCTTGTGCTAGCTATCTTCATTTTGTTCTCTGTAGCAAATTCTATTAACTTTTTCCGTTTTCATTTGATTCCTCATGTAAACTTCGCCCCCTGTTAGTCTTCTATGTATTTCCTCTTTTCCGATTTATATTTCTGTATATTCCTTATTAGGGTGCTTAGTTTTCCTATTTTGGTTTCTAAGTTTTTATCTTCAGTGGGCGCATATATATGAATGATACTTATCTTCCTATACATTCCTCTTACTCTTAAGTAACATATTCTGTCTGATATTGGTTGAAAATTTACATCTGCTTTGTTTACTTTCTCCGACACCATGAATCCCACTCCAAAATATCTCTTAGTCCCCCACTCTCACACAGTGCGCTCTAATTTGGTCGAAGTTTTTTAAAGCTCCCTGTTCAGAAGTACCCATCACATTCCAAGTTCCAATTTTTATTATATCTTTGGATTGTTGCCTTTTTTGTGTTTATTTTTCCGTTTTCCATAGTCGTATTCCTTTGCCTTGTCGTTTTGGTATCATATCTCCCCAGTTGTTTTAGCCGACTCGACAACATGCCTCCACTGTTTTCTGTCTTGGGCAACCTCCATCCAATTCTCCACGCCCATAGTGCTTAGGTCTTCTGCTATATTATCTCGCCACCGGAGACGAGGGCGTCCACGTGGTCTTCTTAAAGTTGGGACTTCCTCCCACACCAGTCTTACTATTTGTTCGTCAGAATCTCTTCTGAGGTGCCCTGTCTTTTGGAGTCTTCTGGACTTTATTTCTTTTATGATGTTGGCGTCTCGATAAAGTTCTTCGAGCTCTTTGTTAGTTCTTATCCTATATTGTCCTGATGCTTCATCCAGCACAGGACCAAAGATCTTCCTTAGAATTTTTTTTTCCCAAACACATAGTCTCTCTTCATTTGCCTCTGTTATCCTGCACGTTTTGCTTCCATACATCACAACAGGTCGTATGATTGTTTTATAGACCCGTATTTTCATACGTCGTGTTAGTTGTTACGATTTTATAAGACTTTGGAGGGCAAAAAGACATCTGTTGCCGCCCTGAATCCTGTTGTTTATTTCTTGTGATCCATTATTGTTTTTAGTTATTGTTGTTTCAAGATACTTGAATTTTTTAAAGCACTCAAAGCTAAAGTCATAGATGGTGATGTTCTGACCGATTCTGTCTCTGCTTTGGTTATTGCGGCTCATATACATATATTTCGTCTTGTTTTCGTTGATTTGGAGCCCCATCTTCTCTACTTCCTTCTTGAACCTCACGAAAGTCTCCTTCATCCTTAATCGTGTGTTTCCTATTAGATCGATATAGTCTGCAAATGCCAGTAGTAAGTTTGGTCCTTCTGGATGAAATACTGTATTCGGTTTTTCGATTCTTGCACTTCTGATTATGTGCTCCAGAGCTAAGTTGAAAAGTTGCGGTGAAAGTGCATCTCCCTGTTTTAGTCCATTGTTTATTTCAAATGTCTCCGAGTACGGTTGTCTCACCTTACATCGTAACCGTTCCATATACATCCGTATCAACCTGACTAGTTTTTTTTGGAAAGCCAAGTTCATGCATCGCTATCCACAGTCTGTCCCTGCATACTCTATTAAATTCTTGTTTAAAATCTATGAACATCTGATGAAGCTGGCGATCAAACTCTCAGCATTTTTCCATTATCTGCTGTATTGTGAATATCAGGTCAATAGTAGAACGGCCCAGTCTAAATCCGCATTGATAATCTTCAACGATTTCGTCTGTGTATGTTTTGGTTCTTTCTAGCAGGATGTTTCCAAGGATTTTATAGGTGGTGTTTAGGAGTGTTATTCCCCTGTAGTTAATACATTGCTTTTTGTTTCCTTTTTTGTGTATGGGTACAATAACCCCTTGGTTCCATTCATCTGGCATTGTTTCTTCTCGCCAAATGTCTTGAATTAGCTTGTATATAGAACTGTACAACGCTTCTCTTCCATGTTTTAAGCACTCTGCAGGTATACCATCGCTACCTGGTGTCATCGCTACTAATTTTTTGGTAATTTTTATTTGGTATTTTCTTTTAGCTGTTGTTCTTCTTCATCCAATATCCATTCTTTCCCACTCACGAACAACTTCTTATAGCCATTTTTGCTTGTTTTCCCTTACTTTTTTTTCCTTTGCTATTTTAGTTATTTATTTCTTTCTATATTTATGTTTCTTTTGATGTCAGATCTTTATTTATGTAGATACGATCTTTATGATACTTCAATTTACTTTTTCTATTTAGTATCTCAATTTTATCCGTAAAAGTTTCTGTTTCTATGGCATAGAGTGTTTCTTCTATTTTTGTTTATTATCAGCATGCTTTCTTTTAGTTTATTATCATCATATGTATCTATTTTTAAACTCGATATAATTAAACTTCTCTTTTTTACTTGTTTTCTCCAATTGTTTTATTCTGTCTTGTAATTGTTTTACGTAGTTTTTTAATTTTCTGTTTTCCTTTATTTAATTTCCTTTCCTTTTCTTTAATTCGATTTCTTATTTGCTTTATTTCATTCATTATTTTCTCTTTTTTTTATTAGTTGTTTCATTTGTTGTTGCATCATTTTAATCATGACATCCTCTTTCACTCTTCTGTCACTTTTAGAAGGTGTACGCTTTCTCATTTCACTTCTTCTAAAATATACATCCTGGTCTTTTCTCTTGCGTTTCGTTTCTTTGTCTGTATATATTTCGCTTTCTGTTCTCTTTGTCACTTCTATTTGTTTTCCAACAACTTTTTTATTCCAATAACAGTTATTATTTATTATTTTTAATTTAATTTAATTCTAATCTAACTTTAATCTTATTTATTCTAAGGCCGGATCAGAATTTTTGTAATAAAATTATGCAACTTTTATTTTGATATTTAATTTCTTTTTGGACACTAATTACTTTCTTATCTGCTAAAAAACCAAAAAACCCCCAATAGTGCTTAAGCGGGTCAACCCCTTGGACTTAAAAAATTCGCTAAAACCATTTTTTAATCTTTCACACAATTATATATTTACTCAAGACTTGTTAAAACTCCAATGAATTATGTACGCCGGCTCCACACATGGGGGCCAACGTTGGCCCCAACAGCGTTCGTCCAATGTGTGTACCAACAAAACTGTGTTGGAGGCAATGTTGGCGCCAATGTTTTTATGATTTGCTACAACGTTGGGAGTTTTCCGTAGGCTATCGGTTTTTGCGTACACATCAAAGAGATTGGTGCCAATACTGGTGTTGCCGACCACACATTGGCGCTACAGTAGTGTTCCAATCGGCGTATAATTATGCTATTTGCGCATAATTTAATTGTTGGTGCGTAATTTTCGCATCCTGAATAAAATTAGGTACCTAATTTTGCAGAATCTTCTTCTTTGGGTGCCGTCTTCCTAGCGAAGGTTGGTGATGACCTCTGCAAAGTCTTTCCTATTTTGGGCTTTTCTTATTAAACTTTGAAAGTCTAATCCTGTCCAGTCTTTGATGTT